ATATATATATATATATATATATATATATATATATGGAGAAGAAATATATATATATATATAGAAAATGGACCATCTTTTTCCTGTTTCCAACTTTAAATGTAGACAATACTGCTTTCGAACTTAGGCCGTAGTTCCATAATTCCATGAATCTCATTTATTATAATGCAGGCTTAGGACTAAAAATACGATTAATTTTGTATCTTTAGACGTATTTTTAGACTTTCCGAACCATTCAAAAGCTCTCAAGCCCGCAATACCTATTATTTTGTAAAAGTGCAGGTATCTTTTAATACATAAATACAATTGATCGAGTGAACTAACTAGGGTTAAGTCTACAGAAGGACAAACAAGTGAAACAGCTAAGCTATGATCATAATAGGACGTATACTCTGCGACAAATTATTGAACATTCTTAAAGAATTTTAAGCATTGTTTCACTTTCAAATATATTTTTAGGTCTATGGAAATCAAGCATTGTGAGAAAAACTTATTTGACTGTGCTAAGCCTACGTGATATATCAGTAAAATCAAACAAACAGTCTGACAAGATTTAAAGCGAGTCGTGTTGGTTTACAATGTGTGTATTTTCAATAGTATTTGTCGTATTGTATAAATCATCAACCAAGCAAATCTTAAAACAGATCATTTGGGAAATTGATAAAGAACTGATGTGAGGTTTATTTCAAATAACTATTACTTACTTGCAAGGAAAGTAAGGTTTTTGGAGAAAGGAATGCAAGAGAACCTAAAACTTCCAAGTATCTTGAAAACCAGCTGTATACCATGGCTTGTATCTTGAAAGACCGATGACAAATTTTCCGTTTTTCCTGTATAAACTTTTCTCTATTCTCAAATTTTTATGAAATATAATTGTAAAATGCACAGTTTAGTATAAATTGCATTACAGTTAGTGCTTCTACTCTACACCAACCTTATTGCGATTGTTCTTCTGGTATGGTTCATGACAACTTTGTTGCGATTGTTTTTTCGGGATGATTCACGATATCATGACTTTTTGAAGTGAATTCCATGATGTCGTTTTTTTCTAAATTACACTCGTCGACTAGATTGATATTAATTTCTGTTTGCCCTACTTTTATTAATTCAATGATTGAGTTATCAAATCAGTGAGATCAGATAGATCTTTGAATAGAATTTAAATGATCTGAATGTGAGAAGTAACTACAGATTTCTTTTGAAATTTTAATTCAATTAAAGTAGGATTACACCTTTTCATTGACGCAACACATCGAATTTCAAAAGAGCCGGCAACCCATTTGATTAAATGGAAAGAAAACTGTTGCAAAAGTACTCAACCAGAGAAAACATGGAGGCGGTTCAAGTCAAACCGTCGTAACTGGTGCTTTAGAAGACTGCTGAAGATTTTTTAAAATATTTTTTAGTGGGATTTAAGACTTCACATTCCAGTGTGTCTTGTAAACTTTGGCCCAAAACAGGACAAAAAATGATATCGTCATGACGGAGACTATAGCTTCGACCATATGTATTTCTTACCATTTATGGTAGAAACAGTAAATATTTTCACCAGAAATATTCCAATGATATTGCTGATTTCATGAGACGAGTATGCCTTTATTTCTAAAATTAATACATTTAAAAATCTTCCATCGACTATTTTTGTATTTGTTGTTTTACGACTGGAGGCATTCTTTCCTGGCTCCGCGGATAAGTTTTGAACTTCCCATGGTGTACAAGCTAAAGCCGTTTGATTTTTTTCAAACTTTAACCTGAATTTTAAACGTAATGTAAGGACGATTCAGAAGATGGCTTTTTGCTTAATTCTGTCAAGATTATATTAACTTTTTGCTTATTTTTATAAGGTAATTTCAGGAAGTAATGCATGACAGAGTATCACCCATGGCTAATCTGCCAAAACCGGATCTTTGTGAAATTAGTGCTACTAATGAACCATATGTATGAGTCTTTTTTTTGTAATATTACATGTTTGCTAACACTATTCATCGTTCTCTATGCGCGATATTGATTGCCGTAGATAAAGAGAAAGTTTCAAACGCTGAATATTTTACATTCATTGAATTGTTACCCGTGCCTAATATCACGGAAAAGTTTTGCCTTTTTATACTCAGCAATAGAAAAGGCAGTCAATTAAGAGGAATGGAAGCCTCGCAAATAAGTACCTATACCTGGCTCGTTAGTCAAAGAAATTCTTACAGAATCCTTTTACCAATGATATGCCAAAAACAGAATGAACTTGGAATCTGATACTAAAACGTTGATGTGTTGTAATTATCTTCATTCGCTTTATTTCGTAAAATACAATTTAAGAAGAAAAGCAGCTTCATTTGATTTCATTTCGACTATAAACTTCAATCGAAAGTTGACCGATTACATAATATTTTTATTATTTTATCCCTTTTCGATGTTTTGCTTACTAAATTCCCGTTTATATTTCATTTGGATATTTGAATATAAGTTCCTCTTTTGCAACAATTTCACCACTATATAAATAGTTTTGACGATAAAAGGTACTGCTCGTATGGTGCAATGTCCCCTCCAAACTTTTTCTTTACATTAAACATTTTGCTGCATTTCAGCATGCAGAATTAATCGCTCTTTCTACTCTTCAAAAACCTAATACCAGTATTTCATTATCTTCCACGAAAACTTTAACAGTTAGGAGAACATTTTCAATTAAAAAAAAATAATACAGAAGTTTAAAATCAGGAAACGTTGGTGAATCAGACAGTTCGCAGTGTTTTGGATATTTTCTGTTCTTTCTTTGTTGTTTATGGGAAGATTAGTTGAAACTAAGCTAAGTAACTTGCTGAATAAAACACACCAAAAATGGGAATTCATTGCGACAAAAATTTACGGAACTTCAGGAAGATGCAAGAATTTTCAAATTTCTATGATGGAAAATCCATAAATTTCACAAATCAATGCGAGGCCGTGTAAATCCGTGAATCGTTTTCTGGTTTCCATAATAATGAAGTGTGATGTTCTAGGTTGGTTGTGTGACGTACAATTCTATTTGGAATTCTTTGTAATGATATTTATTCAGGATTTCTCGCAACAACAGTGTGGTATCACGTTGTGAGTGTATTCATTGGAGGCGTTGGTTCACTGGTTGTCGGATTTTCTTTATTTTGATGCACGACTTTGTATTATGTCGTTTTTGTATCCTCACTATCATGGAAGTTGTAAGTTGTAGTTAAAAGTCCGCGGGTACAATGAAGCTATATATGAAGAATCTGTTATTTGCAACTTTCATAGCAGCCACATTTCATTTGTTGTATATGATTGGGAACCGACCTTGGATGCGAATAAATCGGTGTAAGATGACTTACATGTATCGAATTATGAATTTCATGGTATGCATTTTGTAGATTTCCAGAATTGCTTGTTATTTAATTTTCAGTTAATTTTTTGAATTTAGAAGTGCCATAAGTAATTTGACATTGTAGCGCATTGATATTGTTCGCACAAAGTTGAAGCATGATCAAACTGAAAATATTAGATATCCATTTTCGAGTGATCTCAGTGGCTATTCGACGGTTTTATATGGGGAAGGAGAATATGCTCGCAATTACATGTATGGTTTGCTTTTTGAAAATACCAATTTATTTATTAAGAAATGCTCGAAAATAAATAACCATATTTGGTTTGATTTCATTTTACTGCAGGAAAACTGGACAGGTTAATGGACTTCCCATCATTTTTGTGCCTGGCAATGCAGGTTCTTCCAAACAAGTTCGTTCTTTGGGGTCAATACTCCACAATAAGACCGAAAGTAGGAATTTACCATTCACATTCGATGTCTTTGCTATTGATTTCAATGAGGTTCGTGCCAATGAAATTAACTTCTTCCCGAGATTTTACTTATAGATTTATGAAGTAACAGTGGCGAATTAACGTCGTATACGTCGAGAGGACTCACGTCTATTTTAAGATTTGGTTTTTATTTGAGGTTTTTAAAGAAATTTTTTGTTGGTCCTACAATTTTAGGAATTATCAGGCCTGTCAGGCATGTATTTGGAACGGCAAATCAAGTATCTCGAGTTAGCAGTGCGACATATTTGGGGCATGTATTCACCCCCACCTCGTGGTATCATATTTGTTGGTCATTCAATGGGTGGTATTGTTATACGATCGCTGTTGCATAGTATTCATTTCGATCCCAGCAGGGTTGCATTTGTTGTAACTTTGGGGACACCACACAAAGATGCACGTATGTTTATGAGTAATTTTTACTAAAAAAAAAGCTAGCAATTGATGTAATTAGTTTTTCGTTTTGTTGCATTCTCTGTTGCTTCATTTTCGTGAGTTACGTTCTCTATCTTTTTAGCAATGGTTTTTGATTGGTATTTGAAAAATATTTATGACCGAATGCATAACAGTTGGAGAGAGCATGAAAAAGAATTGACCAATCTTTTGGTCTTATCAGTTTCGGGTGGTTTGAAAGATCATCTTGTGCCAGAACATTTTACTCTTGATAATGGTATTCGCCATATTTCGACTACTGCTGTTGATGGCATTGAGCTAGAGACCGATCATCTTTGTATTGTTTGGTGTAACCAGTTGGTTAGGTTTGTTCATATTTGCGTCATCAGCTATCATAGCTATTGTTCTGCTCCGTAACATTTAGAACATAAGGTGTTTTCATCGATCTTGTAAAAAATAAAACAAATTCAGTAATACTTAAAAATAATAATATGTTTTGAACTAGACTGAATTCCAAAATTACTTGTGATTGTTCAGGTATATCTCGCGCCTGTTGATTGAATATGCTTACGATCCAAATTCGTTTCACAAACGTGCTGATAATATTGTAAAGCAACTTTTTGATGCTGATGGGCTTCTTAGAAAGTTAACGCGTATGAGAGTCAGTTCAAGCACTGAGGTTGTCGTCAGGAATGAATCGATTTTTGTAGGTATAATAAATGTATATATACTTAGTTATGGATATTCTACCCTTTGTAAGGTAATAATTTTCACCTACACCTGATGTTCGTTTTATCCATTCAGTAGTTTACTTTCATTAAATCCACTCTTCTTTACTATACAATTAAATCCACTCTTCTTTACTATGCACACTGTTTATCATTTTTGCGGCCTACGATCATAATAACCAACTTTAATTATACTCATCATATTTTCAAGTGCGATCTGTACTGAGATGCTATGAATCTTAATAATCATAACGTATTCATGAACTTATAGATTCAAGCTCGTTTTATCTCTCAGGTAAAGAATAATAACGAAGATCTGAAGGAATTCGTCTTATCATTTCCAAAGGATAGCTGGTTGTTCATTGAAAGAAGTATTGGGAGCTCGTTGTGGACATCATCCGGAAAGCCTGTCTATCCTTCGAACAGTTTGCGACAGACGTTTTATACAATCGTTCATTCGAGTGACACAGAACAGATTTCGGTACATCTGAAACGTCAAGAGTTCTTCAAAGCCATTGCACTTCGAGAAGATCCAGCAAAGCTTAATTCTGTATGAAATCAAATTTTTATGTACTTGTTTGAACATCGAATGTTTTAATCGAAAGGCATTTCAAAGATTTTCATGACATCACTTTTCCGCTTTTTGAGATTTTTATACGATTTAGCAAACTCACGTTACAATGTATGACTTCAAACTTGTTATGTATGCTAGATTCTTCCTTTATTTTCTCTTAAGACACATCTTATTAGATTCGTTCAAGTTAGACCTGAAACAAACTGAAATGTGTTTTAGGTTGTGTATATTGGGTTTTTATCACTGGTGAAAGGTTGCTTCACATTTTTTATGGGAAGCCGACTTTGATGGTCGTGAATCTGTTGTGTTATTGCCAGTTTATTTCGGAACTCCAGTTGTTGCCATTGTTATATCACTTGAATTAGAATCATGCAGTGATGCAGATGGTTAGTCACCGTCATCCTTCTTACAAAACAAGCACTTAAATATTACTATTCATCGTAAACAAAACTCAAAAGATGTTTTCTACTTTAGTTTAAAAACATCACAACTCATTTCTTATACTTACATAACGAGTAACTCAGCCTTACCATTACTTTTCTTACCGCTGAAGATTTTGCGTGGTTCTTTTTCTTTTTAAAGAAATCTATTCTATATACTTTATGGTTCATTTGATTTCGGAATTAATTTAATTTGGTTGAACAGTCCAAAGTTTGTTATGAATTCAGTTTTTAATAGAATGGTTCGCAAAAGTTGAGTTTCGAGGTCAAGATCTACGACGTATAAGCAGTCTTGGTGCCAGCAAAGAACTTCAAATAATTGGATATTTACTTAATAAGGGAGAAACAAAAGCCGAGACATTTTTTGTATTAAATCAACGCTGTCGCTTTCACGCACGCCTCGATATCAGTTTTTTGGATACTCTGATTGTGGTATGCTGTATGCAGTCACCTGTGTAAAGTTAAAAATGTTGCATTTTTTCTTGCTAATTTGGATATGCAATCCTAAATTATTTTTATGCGGTTGACACCAACGATTTGCCAGTAAGTAGGCAAGGACTACTGTTAGAGTTAAGTACGGAAATTTTTCGTTTTTTTCTCCATTATTTTTCGTTTTCTAAGTTTAAGATGCTCCGAATGTATGGATCCATCGTCCCTTACATGTTAAGTATATATATTCTCAGTGCATTATCGATTTGCACCTTAACTGGTATGTCATTTAAAATTATGTTATATCATTTTGAATAAGTGAGTGTTTCAATATTGAATGGTTTCTCATACAGAATATTGCTGAAAAAAAAAAAAAGCTATTCCTACATCACTTTCAGAGGAGTATTGTTCGAATATTCGAGATTGTAAAATAATATGCCTCACTTTAACTTGTCACATGTTCATCATTCATCGGCATAATTTGTTAGTTTTTTATAAACAAACTGGAAATAATGTGGAATCATGACTTTTTAATGTCAGTAAACATTTTTACTGAACAGTGTATTTTGCTCTTCTAACCTTTGTAATTTTTGTAATATTTGTAGGGTCGATTGGTTTACTTTGTTGATCTCATCTTTACTGATTTCATATTTCACTTATATTCTTCAGAAACTAACGGATTTATTTATTCGACCAATGAAGGACAGACATCAGAAAAGGTGGTTGGTTCATTTTCCGATGAAGTTATTAATTTCAATAACACTTGTTTCATGTGGTCTGATGTATGTGCTTATATGCATATGCAATTAGATAAATAATTTGGTTCATGTTGCTGTATAGAATTTTTAAGAAATATCCACTTCTATTTAATTAAATTCTTAAAAACGTTATTTCTGTTCGTCTTGTTAACGGCTTATGCTTCGATAGATTGTTGCTGATGAAGTGATTAAAGCAGCTTGCATTAGCTAGTGAAAGGTGAAAGATTTGTCTTAATTTAGATAAAAAAATTTTTTTTTCAAGTTTGCGGTGGTTCACCCATTCTTGTGAAAAATCGCGAAATTTCAGACTTGTAGAATCGACATGTCCTGCCTTTATTGAATTGACAGTAATTGCAACATCATTATTTATGAACTATTCATACAATGGCTTTTTTGCGCTTGTGATAATCGTTATCTCCAGTTTATTGGTAAGTTACATATTGCTGAATTAATTTTGTAACTGAAATGCAGTGCAGTCATGATCTCATAGTTTCACTCTCTTCGGGATTATGTAAGTAATGAAAGAGGGTATCGTGCAAAGGTACACTTCACTTCCTCACATTTTTCCTTCAGCTTTCAGTGTTACTCTGAAGATTTTTATTTGGGTATTGCTTAATGTTTCTTTTTCAGCAGCTCCTGAAAACAGCAATTTTTTCAAAGACTGTTAGTCTCTCTAGTTTTTCGCAGCCAGTTCTGTTAGTTGTTCTTCATTTTTATGCCATTTTGGTTTATGCACCATTTGGCGTTTGTTCGATGTGGAATATAATTAGATATGGTTTATTTGCTGTTTATGAAGATCCAGCTCGTGTTCCGGCATATTGCATGGTTTTCTTAAAGTTTATTCGATTTTCAGTGGGCAAAATTCACTTCTTCAGAGCTGTATGTTTTTTGTTATTTCCACTTCCTCAAAAAAAGTATAGTGAGATTAAATGGACGGTGCTTTTGCGAATTGTTTCAGATTTTTTGAAATAGCTAATATTATCTCTGTTCTTACTTTTAAATTGTATTCATTACGACTGATGTAATTAAAAACGACTGATCTAATTGACATCCATCTACATTAAGTTTTTATCTTTTTATTCTAAAAAGAGTGAAGATTTATGGAATTACGGGAAACCATGTAAAGCACTCTGGAGTTATTAGTGAGCATTTAATTTCTTCTGATCAAAATGACTTTGTGCTGAACCCCAACTGCTGAGATGTCAAAAAGAGTCGATTTCAAAGTTCCCAACCTTATAGTTGTTTATTCCTTAAAATTTGGGGAATTATTCAACCCAGCTTTCGCCCACAGGTTCAGTGTCGTTTGATGATTGATAATCACTTTTTAGAAATAGTATGAATTTTTGGGATTGTTCGTTAATATTACTCATCGTGTATCACTTTTAATAATCAATTGGGTTTCATAAGTCAGCAATCTGACAAACTAGCAGGCGGAAGTTCTACTTCGTTGACTGAGATCCAACTTCCTCATTTAAAATCAAAGTTAATTTTTTCTATAAATCAACTTTACTGGATCTGGTTTAATTTGTGAAGTTGTTTCTTATCTTTATCTTTGTTCACACTTGCAGCATTACATTTCTGTGGCTGTGTTGTTGTACACTGCCCTTACCCAATCGTTTACATGTATTTCGCAGTTGGGTTCATCCTTCATCGCAGTAATTGGACTCAATTGGTTTGTGAATCAAAGCAAACTGAAATCGAAAAAGGAGCATTAACAATTGTACCGTGGTACCACTGATTTTGTAAGGAAATTCTGGTTCTCTTGAATTATTCAAGTGATTCAGGAAGTTAGTATCATGTTTCCCCATTAATAAATGGAGTTGGATAGGATTTTAAGATCTGACGCTAAAAATTATGAGGCTTTGTTGCAGGAAAGCGAGAAATGCATTCTGCGATATTTGTGTTGGAATATTGTTTTCTGGTGATCTCTGGTTTTTCACGGGATGTTATCATAGAGACGATCAAGTGTCCAGCTAATTTACTTGTCGTGATCCGCATTAGCCCAATATTTTTGTCCTAAATCGTTGGGGCTTTGTCAGTTGCTTATTGAGCTGGTAAACTTATTGTACATGCTAAAGTGACTTGGACTGTTGATGTTTCGGTCTTCACTGTTTGTTTAACCGGCATTTTTATTCTATTCAAATCATTATCTGGAAATAATATTGGGGAAATTCATATTAATGTAAGGGTTACGACATTACTAATGCGGCATGCCGTAAATGTTCCCGGTCGGGAATTTGTGATCTGTCAAACCCCAATTCCCTTCATCTACTGGATATTTACTCCAGAGCCAAAGGATAAGTTGCTTAAACACATTCCCGCGCTAATCAAAATTACTTCGGGTCAATGTATACTTATATTCATTTCGCTTAACTGGACTACTGCTTTCCACTAATCTTATCTGAAAGGTGTGCGGGGTTGGCAAGTATCCATTTCATGACATTTAAGCAAACACTATGGAAATCAGAGCAAAAAAAAGAGACCCAACTTATTTCCAAATCAGCAGGGCCCAAACGAAAGACGTGGAAAGTTACATGACCCCTAACATATCATGAAAATGTAGCCACTAGGAAATAGTCGAGACTTTCCAAAGACCCTTTCAGGATTTGATCCTGAATGCCATTACGCTTTTAGTATTCGTCTGAACATGGTACACCCAAAACAGAATAAAACTGAACTCACGAAAGAATCAAGTTCTACTCCGATCTAAATGCCGTCATGACCAGCATTTAACAAGACATTTGAACATTGCTTGATGTGAGTTAAAAATGATGCGAAAATATTGGACTGATTGTGTTCAAGATTCATGAAGTGGGAGGATCGTGTGATTCACAGAATGATGGTTTATTGTAAATAACAAAGATCCTCTTCAACAAGTATGTGAAATCCGGACAATCATAAGTTTCTGTACATGAAGAGGACATATCAGTTAATCAGCTGTGAACAGGCGAAACCCTGATTTAATATCTGAAATCTTATTAAGGCCTTTTTCCCTCTGCTTTTCATTTCAAATATTTGATGGCAGTTACACAAAATTACACTACGAAGAACAAACTCTTAATTCGCTGGACTCTTGAACTTATATTTAGTGAGCCCTATATCATCTGTCCGATTGCTTTAGGTACCAGCATTAAAAGTGAGTCGTTAGACTTTATAATACGAGAGCACGTCTGTTATATAACACTGACAGTCTGGTGAAGCTGGCCTAGTCAATCAAGGAAGAACTTTCGCTCTTGCATATTTTCTGATTCCAAAGAGGGTGCTACACAAAATCCTACCTGATCAAAAAATACCGGAATTATTTGACTGGATTAAAACTAAATTCTGACCATCGTATTACAAAGCGAATGATTAGTGATAAATGCCCTATTTAAAAAACCTATGTACAATAAAGCTTGTCACAGAAATAAAACACCTTTTTGGAAATATAATCGGGAACAGACAAGAAAGTTTTGAAAAATCCAAGAAAACAATTTGCGTACATGGAAATAAAAAAAGCACCGCGCAACTTCACAGAAAAGCTGGAACTCTAAATGTATTTAAATTCATCAAACAGGGGGCAGGAAAAGAAAGAACACGTAAAAAAGATTATTTTCCTATGATTACGTATACGGAAATTTTGTAAAAATCAACTACAGCAAAGGCGGCAAGAAGGATTCCTAGAATCGGCTCTTTTTTCGCGCCCACAGCGGGCACATACCGGACCGCCGCTTTCATTCTGAACATCGGTTTCAATCTGCAAAAATAAGTTAAATTTTGTACAACAATAAAAACAGATAATGGTATTCCTTATAATGTCGTTAAAAACACTGGAAATCACAAAATTAGTTCATTCCAGCCGTTAAATAAGCAAGTTTTAAGGCATTACTTTTTGTTGTACTAAAAACCTATTGCTGAGAAAACATTAGATATCAAACAACATAATCCTTTATTGTTAATCAGTAGTTATACGAAAACCCACCGGCATAAACAAATTGAATGATCCTAAAGACGAGAAATTTTGTAAAGAATCTATCGGTGACGGCGGTCGAACTGCTGTATTTACTCGCAATTCACGCTTGAGCAAATCAAGTTGTAGTAGTGCCTATAAAAATAAAGTTTACTTGCCAAAGAAAAATCCATCTAAAACTCCCATCTCTATTACCTTCATAAAACAAAAGAACATTTTTGAACAAATGACAAAACCACAACTATTTTACAATTGAAATCAGAGAATTACATAAATTTTAAATCAGCGTAAAAAAACCTGGTCCCGTTCATACAGCGCTTTTGATTTGTCAACTTCTGCCTGTTCTGCAACACAACGATAATACTCGGCGTCTTTTTTCCATGCTTCGCAAGCTTGACGTGCTTGTTTCAGGCCTTCTTCCCATGCAGTTAATTTCTGATGGTGAGCAACGAGCTCCTCACATTTCCTCTTTAATTCCTTTTGTAATTCCTCCTTGCTCATTTCGTGTTGTGGCATTGATAAGTCCGTTTTCAAAAGATCTGGAAAGATGAACTGATTTGTGCTATCCGACAGCCCTCATTAATGTACTTAGTTAATCCTAATGTCCTGAAACAGAAATCCAGGAAAGCAGACACTTGTAGAATGCTTTTAAGAAGCCATGGAAATACCAATAAGATTCCTTTAAACGACAGATAAAAGACTAGTTTTCATACGAACACTGGCTTTTACGGAGTACAGATGAAGACAAAAAACCGAAATCAAAGCTTATTCCCATTTCTATGCTAGGACAGAACGGTCCTAAACTTTAATAAGTTTAACCAGTCAGACTGTTTGACATACAAAATCACGAGAACTGATATGCATGAACATATCTGTGATTACATTTAATACGCATATAAATACCACAGAACAGCAAAACATACCTGAACCTAGCGTTCCTGGTAATGCCATTAACCCCTTCAACTGTGGAGCCGCTGAAGGCAAATCAAGAGTCCGTTTATTTTGTTGAAACAATGATTCGCCAAGGGAAGCTAGCGGTGGAGAGCCAAATGGTGAGTTCGAATTGGGGATTTGCATTGGTGAAGAAGACGTCATAGCTAAAAAGAAAAAACGGTTACATACCATTTTGTTACTTCTCGTCATATCCTAAAAATGTTTTCGAAATCTTATTCTCAACAACATAAAATGTTTAATATCATGTTTTATCCTATATAGTAGATTCCATTCACTATTTTCAGCAATCAAGCATCTAGAAGATTCTAAATAGCAGAAATAAAACAGCGAGGACAGTAAATTGTCTTTTTAAACTAATAAATACACATATTTTCAAATCTGTAGAGAATGAGTACGCAAATTTCGGGCTGAATCTATCAATCTGTAATTTTTACCTCAGGAGACGAAGATATATGATATTAGATTATTTCGCTAAAATGAATGCTGTGATGCTAAATCAGGGCAGTATTTGTAATTTATATGGCCAACACTGATGTCATCACACTTCAAAGATCTATGACCAAGGAATTTCACTAGGCAGAAAAAAGCGAAGCTTACGTGGGTTGGTAAAAAAATCACACAAGAACTTGTGTTCTTTTTGTTCGGATATAGGAGAGAGTGCACTGCTTGATAGTTCATCCAAAGAAAGTTCATCAATCGCTGCCGGCAGTACGCGTATCGGCGCATCTGATGTGGATCGAGCAAGAGTACTCAGTGATGGGAAAGTGGGCAACGATGATACTAAAGCTTCGTTAGCACTTGTTACTGAATATCCTTAAAAAATTCCTTTCTTTATTCAAATGATGTAGCAAACGTTTACAATGTCAGTCGTTAATTGCAATTTTAAAAGTTATATTGAACGAAAACGGAGAACTGGGATCAATCCAGTTTGAGTAAACTTTAGGAGAGAAATAATATTAATCAGGACCACAAACAATAATGAAAAGTAAATTACCTAGATCTAGCTGTCCCATATTTAATGAAGATGTTCGTATGCGACCAATGGCGCTATCTGCTATGCGCTGTGGCTAAAGAATGTAAAATTTGATAAATTTGGTCCAAACGAATAAGACCAATAAAGAATGACCGATGTAAGCTAGCAAATATAACTCAGAGACCAGGAAGTTAAAATTAGGACTTGCCGAAATTTGAACACGTTCAAATCCCGGAGCTTTTGGATAACTGTTTTGAGACCCTTCATCGCCACCAGCTGATGAAGCATTTTTTCCTGGCGCTTGTCTCTGCTTCAAAACTGCCTAAAATCTCATTTATTTCTTATTATTCCCTACAAAAATGAAGAGAATGTATACTATAATAGAAAATTCTTACTGAATAGGTGGGTGTTGCGGTTGATGTTACTGACTGCATTATATGGTTTTCTGAAATGTTCACAGATGAACGTAATTAAAAGATCTAATTAAACAAAAAAACTAACCAACTCTACTTGAGGGAGAAAAGTTACATCAATCCAACAATACCTGGCCGAGCTGTAGGAGAAGCTACAGGTTCTGCGTTCCCTGAACTGGTAGAACTGTTGTTCTGTTTCGGCGGTATAGGTGCATCTGGATTGTTACTTGGCCGATAATATGGAGCACGTTGGACATGCAACTCTGAGTCGTGGTGCGCAAATGCGCAAAACACGGCACGAGGACAATAACCATGGTCAAGCATATCGTTACATTTAGTTGACTTATATATTTCAGGATGAAACTGCTGCTCAGTCCTTGTATGACAGTATCCACAATCGTCGCCATTCTCACACTGCTCTGGTTCTAACCACTCATCTGCTGACTTTGCTGTTGGACACGGAGTTGATCTTAATAGAGTGTGAGATGAACAGAATAGAAATAACCAGCAAATAAGAATAGTGTGGCACCCTCATAAACTTAAAACAGCTTCCAGTAGTTTTCCGTTTTCGTCTAAAATCAAGTGAACAGATTCTCACCGATACTTATGCACAGCTGGAGGTCTTCGACGATCTTTCGAGTTGTGGTAAAATGGACAAGCATAACCTTGACGGCAAAGGCGAGCTGGTTTTTTGCATTGTTCAGTTTTATAGCACGACAAAACATGAACTTGGTCTATAAACAACCCATTTTAATGTGATAAAATTACTCAGTGCCTTTAAAATCAGATGTTGAAGCATTTAAAAAAATCAAAAGTAAAGAAAAGAGACAAAATAAACAAATAAAATAAGTAAATAAACAGGTAAAATAAAGTCCACAATGATACGGAATCAAAATAAAATACCATGCCAAAGCGGGTCTTCCACAACAAAACTAGTCCTTTCGCGATTTTCTGGATCTAATAAGGCGCCATTTTGACTTTCCTGAGAATCATGTACGGCCTGTCGAAGATCCTGAACACTGTGTGCAAACGCACAGTGAGGACCGTTTTTCGCGCAAATACCACGTGCATCTGTTGGATGTACACACATCGCAGTTTTATAATACCGTAAATGATATTTACGTTCTACATCGCCCGCTACGCGATGTAAGAAACTGCAACTGTAAACAAAAACTATTCAGATGAAATATAAAGGTTTCATATTAATTCACTGTTTAAATCGACATTTTCCAGACAACAATTCAAGGAATTCTATCGAGGTTCACATAAATAAGCCATATTTTATTGGAACTTCTCAAACGCACCTATCTCCATCTGGACATACACCAGTGTTTTCGTCATACTTGTCACAGTACACATCAGCCGAGTAGTTGAAAGTACCATCCGATCGTCTTATAGGACGACGTCTTCGCTGATTAGCAAAATGCCAGTTAAAACAAGTATATGGACGATGCTGTTGGCACTGATGTTGTTTAAAATGAGGACACGCTTCTACTCGAAAATCACGGAGGTAACTAAAAACGATAATTCGGTTAGCCAGTAAAAGATGGTTTTGAAAGATGATCTAATTAGAGATTTTATATTTGTTTTTACTTCCCACAAATTATGCTTAAATCAATTTGAATCAAAATGAGGTAAGGAAGATCGACTAAATGATAATTAAAAAACACTTTCGCTTTTATTACGTTTGAAAAGATGTTGAAATTGAAAGGAGACCGAATAAACTGAGAAGGGAAAAAATTCGATGGACGGAAAAAACGGAAAAAGGAAGTGCTTACTGTAAGTGATTCGGTTTCTCGGAGCTGTTAAGTGTTGGGCGGACAACATCCATGGCCACCATCCATGGAAGGGATTACATTCATAGAATTTGGAGATAATGTATATGAAACACAACGTGCTCCGTCCCTCTAGCAAAGACACACACTCACATAAACTCCCAGAGTATACTGAAAAATCAGCTGATAACTTGGCGCTTCACCAAACAGCACTCGTTGTAGGACTCAAACATTCGAGCGCGATTTCAAAATAAACCCAATCGCAATCGGGGAGAGGTGAGGGGAGAGGGAGGGGTGGTCAGAGTTCTAGGTAATAACGATTTTGACAAGTGATGAGCGTTGGGTTTTCACGGTCATCTATTAAAGTTTGAAAATCGATATGAATGGCTCTTATATAGTAAAGCAAGATATATGTATTGGAGCGTAACTTCCAATTAAGTAATTTAACTTTCAGCTAATAATAAGAGCTTCAAACACCAGTTGAAAATATGTTTAGTACAGTTTAAACTCGAATTAAGCAGGGTGTTAGGTAGATTGAAACAAACATACTCTAGGTGGCATGAGTGAATAAAAACTTCTCATGACGAAAAAGTGCAGACCTTCTAATAGAGGGAGGTTGTTTGCTTCATTTAATTTAAAAAAGGCGATTTTTGTGGCTAGCTATGAGAGCTCAGGATAAATAGAGTGGTGAGATATAGTGGAATATAATAATAAGCGATAAGTAGATAGCATATATTCATCAAGAAATCATTGATTCTAAAATGCATTTTATTCCAAAATTTGATTTGAACTAGCTGGATCAACTTTGTCAACGTAATACAATCATTATTTCTAGGGACGGCAATGTACAATTCAATACAAAAAGTGGATTTGTTGTAATTCTTGCGGACATCAAGCTTGATTAATTAAGCAGTAAGTTTGTCGCAAGATGCATATTGAAATCAACTTCAACGAATTAGTTTTTATAACTTACCGCATGCCCTTTCCGGCAGTTTTTTCCTCCCCAATGTTCTTTTTTCTTAACTCATTTAACTCTTATATACCGATGACAATTGAAAATTTTATTTTTGTACATAAAGCGCTACAGGATACGACGTTTTCAGGTCAATACTATTTGTACTTCATTGAGCAAACAGAGATAATCCACTAATATTTCTTCAGACCTTTGAACTCGAGCTTCCATAGACCCTAGAAATCATGTAACGCCTAAAACAACATTTTACGACCTATGCAGCATGCACATACTACTATCGATTAAAATGACCCTTAGTATTCTTGCGAATATCCTGAATTTTTACAGCTTAAGAATATCATTCCCAGTTTTACACTCAATGCCATCCTTTTATATACAGTCCCGCCGATCCATATACTTGCACTTTTCAAATTCTAGACCGTAGCAGGTATTGGTGACTTCTGCAAACTTCAAAGACACAAGTTTATGTTTGTATTAAACTATTGAATAGGCACTGGTAGTCGAATTTGCGATGTCTTCTAGTAAATCGTTATTTTCACTTTTACTTTCAATAAATTCTGATGAAACCCGTACGAATAAATAGCCGTACGAATAATTTCGTATATTTCCCTATGTTTCTTGCCTTATGCACGTCGCCTGATACCAAATAAGAATCGGAGGTTGCAGCAGTAGGACATAATGCTTGAAAAGATTTACCAATTGATAGTCTTCGAATTTTATGTACCATTTTATGACATATTTTGATTAGGACATATATAATTAAAAATGAAGTGTAGCTACACATAAAAAAGAATTCGAAACACTAATTTGAGGTTGAAACGAACATGTAAAAGTTATTTTGGGTTAATGATGAATCCCAATGGTGTCGCCGGAATATGGTTTGTAGTAACATCGTTGATCATCTTGGTATCCCTCTAGCTGTTACTACTACTGCTGCTACTACTGCTGCTGCTGCTGCTGCTGCTGCTGCTGCCGCTGCTGCTGCAATGTAACTCTTGCATCTATGTTGAATGGCGCGTTATTGTGCTAGTTACGAAAGTGGTGGTAGTTGCGGCCTTGGCCTTGTGTTTAGTTCATGGCCGTCGATCTGTCGTTCATTCATTTGTATTCTGCTATAAGCGTCTCTGCTGTCATCGTTATTACTGCATGATAGTGAACATGTGGTAATTCATGTGTGTTTATTGGCTGCAGTAACCTGAACACAAAACTCCAGCATCACGCATTTTTTTCGTCGCTACTGCACTTATTGTGAGGTTCAAATCCATGATCTCTTGCTGCCATTTTGAAGTTGGAAATCATCTTAAGATGATTTGCCGAACATTCAAAAACAAGAAATTCAGTTTGAAAATAGATTGGAATTTAGTTGACAATTCGAACTTGGATTTATCAAACGAAAGTGAGATAGAAGCAGCAAACAGTATACTGTTTTTACTGGAGTCTCTTTTCCGATGAGTTATTAGAATACTTAAATAAAATGTCCTTTAAGAACCAGATGTTGTTAATACACGATACTGTAAATCAATATTGTATCGGTTGATTTGCCACTCTTAACACTTCCGTATATAATTAACGCTTCGTCTTCAAAACGGCATTTCGAAACTTGTTTTAAGATTCAAAACAGTTTAAAGAATTTTAAATCACCACCATTTTGATGAGCTGTTTAACCTGGTGAAAACATTAGACTCTTCCTTTCTTCTTTTTATATCCAACTTCTCAGGATGAGTAACCTGGATAAGTCTGGCAGCACAGCTATACCAATGTCTTCCTTAAATTACTGGGATTAAAATTTTGCATTCTTGCCTCGGTGTGATTTCTGATTTGGTCGGACTGGTAATAGATTTCTTGGAATATGAAGTGACACGTTGCACTGTTTTCGTCGTTGCCTATGGGCTGCTTTTTTTAGACTTATTCTTTATCCTGGTGGGTCGATGCTTTTGTTGTCATTATTTTTTTTGCAGAGTGTCGAGTAACACATCTACGTATACTCCATGTACGCACACACACACGCACACACACGCACACGCACGCACACACACACATACATACACACACATACACACATACATACACATGTACACACGCACACATCCGTTGTTGTCTTTTACTTTGTTTGGATCGTTTAATTGTTTTATTTTCAATGTGTTTTGGAGCATGTCTCTTTTTTTGATGTAATCACGATGGGCGCTTTAGAAAAATGATTGTTGTGTACGAGTTTCTGATTCTCATTTTCCTACACATTTGAAGTCTTTTTTAATTTATCCCTCCACGAGAATTTTGTGCACAGGTTATCTACCGACACCTTGCATTATGCAAGATATCGGTAGATAACCTGTGCACAATGTTTTCGTAGACTGTGTAGCAGAAATCTTATTGTTTGACTAAGATGAATATATTTCGTTTCGCCGGTGATTCTTCTCATCTTATTGCTATTGTCATACTAGTTGTAAAAATATGGAAAACACGCTCTTGTGCAGGTTTGTGGATTTAAAAACCTTGTAAATGAAAAATCTTTAACGTAATTGAAAATTTTTCATATGAATTCAAGGTACTGTAAACTTTTGGTGTTGCTCTGCATCGAAAGAAATGAGGTAATTTCAGGACTTTCCGGGAAATCGCAGCTTTTATTTGCATTCGTCTTCACATCGCGTTATTTAGATCTCTTCCATTTCATTTCATCTTACAATACAATTATGAAGGTATACAGGTCTTATTATTGACAGTGCATTAATGTCAAGTTTAAACATATTAGGATTTGGTGGTAATAAAAGTAATCACTGTGATTAAGTAGTGGATAACATATTTCTTCAAGATGGTTATTTAAGTAATCTCTAATAGTTATCAGAGATGAGTGGGTTGATCCATTATAATAGGATCGATAGCGTACTAGATCTTTTTACTTGTACTTGTATCAGTGGGTAGGAATCATCACTAAGACTGGAGGTGGTAGTGATCGGGATGGTAGAAATGTTTTAGTAGATCCATCATATGGAATTGTGACTCAGCTTTTCTCTTCGGAATCTCCATGAAACAATATTAATATATGATGTGTGTGGACTGAAGTTTATATTCATAAGCTTGATGTCTTTAGTATTTTCTTCCAGTCGTTACATCATTTTCTGCCAAACTGGTGTTTGCTTCTCTAGCGCATTTGTTTTGAATTCTTCATTTCTGATTATCATTACTAAAATCATCAGTCATAAGATTGTTGAGCCAACAATTTTCTGCTTTTCAGATCTTTTTCCTTGTATCTTCATATGGAACTGTATATCTGATGTTCTTCAAGTTCAGAGCGACTTATGACCGGTAGGATTTCCTTTTCTTTAGAGACATTCTGTAATTCTGATGGAATATTGTTAAGTGAAGTTGTGTTTTGTAGATGAGAATTCCTTAGCAAGTTTTCATAAGGTTGTTCCGGAAAGTCGTCCTTCTTTCTTTTTCAATTAGATGTTTGCCTTGCTTATAATCGTTTAGAAATTTTCTTGCCTAAAATTTTATCTCCATAAGTTAGTTTATCCGAAGCATTTTGTATTTCACTACAATTTCAGAAATCACGATACATTTCGGATAGAATTCTTGATTATTCCAGCAGCAGCACTTGCTTTTCTCATCAACCATCAGTTTTCGTTCACGGAGGTTAATTATGCTCTTTTGATGTTTGAGAAAATGAATATTCTGTGATTGCACGTATTTCCAATGCAGCGATTTTGGGAGTTGTTTTGATGAAGTAGCATTTGTTAATTTCTTGAGGTTAAGTTTGATTTTAGTGATTTTTTTTATTTAGGCAATGGGCTAAAGATTTAATAATTTTTGGCGAGTTTTTAGAAATGTTCTCAGCTTGAACAGGATGAAGTTGAGATGTGAACGGTATCAGTTGAAATCAAGACGAAGTACTCACTATACTAGTAACTAAAACCAGTGTTGTGAGGAGTGTGACCGAAATAGTAAAACCAAAAAAAATAATGGTTGTGAGCTTTTCAGTTACGTCCTCAAAAAATAGAAGTAAACGTTGTATATCATCACTCACTAATTAAACTTTTCTTTATAGTGTGCTCTCAGTAGATATTTAAGTTATAAATACTAGTGAACTTTATGACTGTTGTATATCGTTTGGTAAATAATGGAATTATCTGAGAGTTGGCAAGCCGAATTTCGTTGTAGCAAGTACGTTTTTTCTGTAGGAAATTATTTTTAAAATAAACGGAAAACGTATAAATCAAGTACCTTTATAATTGAGGTCTGATGCCTTACTTTTTTCTTCGTTAATTAGATTGCCTGGTCGTTCTCCATATATTTGGAAGCAGTTGCCATCATGCCGCAGTTGTTTATGCTTTCGCGTACTGGCAGTGCGGAAACAATTACTGCGCATTATTTGTTTGCATTGGGAACATATCGGGCTTTATATATCTTGAACTGGCTATATCGTTATTACACTGAAGAATTTTTCGATCCTATTGCAACTGTTGCCGGTGTTGTACAAACCATACTTTATGCCGATTTTTTCTATCTGTATGTTACAAGAGGTAATGTTTCGAAGTTAGGTTTCTTCTCTACATTTTTCTTTTTCAGATATCTTCTTTTTACTCCACATAACTTTTCATGAATTTGTCTCTTTTTGTTTTCTCGCAGTTATTCTTCTTTAATCTGTTATAGTTTCAAAAGTTTTGAAACATCACCGTGAATTTTTATTTAGAATTCCAGCACTTTTTCTGAGTTTCAGTATATCCAGTCACGTTCTTATTTATCCTATTTAGTTATTCGAGGACACAGAAATCTGGAGCTTCCCGCATAGTCTTTTCGTTATCAAGGATCGCGGCTTCACTGTTCATATTTTATAAAAATTTTCTTTTGGTTAAATAGTTTTGAATTGGTGTTAAATCAGTTGTTTATCGGTCATATTGTTTTTCGAAGCTTCTGTCAGTGCACATCTATACAGTCACAAAGTTTTAATATTCCGATGTTCTCTTTGGAGAGGTTCGGTTTTAATTAGTTCTTTCGGAGTAGGCTTTTTGAATTCCGCAGGTGATTTATTTGTTACTACACCTTAAAACAATAAGTCCCTAAAAATTTTTGCGCATCTGTGAATGTGGTATTTCGGATTTAGAGGAAATGTTCTGCTTTTGTGTTTCATATTAGCTAAGAGGAATGGTGTAATTTAAATTAGAAGTGTTTACTAACCACTTAATTATTTATTTGGGTTTGTTCAAATGATATTGGCTTGATTCTTGTTTGAAAGTGAATGTACGGCTTTTTACCAGTTTTCCACTTTTGTATTAATTAAAATTGCGCATCACCATTATTGGTTCCTATACTCTAAGGTTGAAATTTTATTCTGGACACATGTTTGAATTTAGTATCTCATCAGGTAATTTATACTTTTTTCCTTACTTTCTTTTTTCTTATATTACCATTATTGTCTATATACCTTTACCATAGATGAACGCACAAAACATTTGCTAAAAATTCGGCTAACCTTAAAACTAGCCAGAATTCCACTTCAGGAATATGGAGGTAACATCGCAGGAATAAAAGACTGGATTCCGTCATAAGCTGAAGATTACCACGATACGGTTTACTAGTCGAAAAAACGCTAATAGAGAGGGGAAAAGGCCATCCAGTACTAAAATTGATTCTTTAACAGTGGGAAGTGATGGCAGAAATCTAATAACTTTTTGATCGAAGCCTGAACTGGTGCACTGAAAGATTTGTCACTCATTCTTCTATATTCAGCCAAATATATGCATTGTTGATCCACAATAGCTACTAGATAGAACACAATAGAGAGAATTTATCCAAAGGCTGTCTTGTAGTACTTCAAATCTCCGATGAAAATGTAGCGCTTGTACGAATTTAATATTCCAAAATGGTATCGTTTTAAAGAATCATGACCGCTAAAATAACAGGAATGCGGTCAGAGCCTTTGATAGTTTTTATAACTTATGTAGCAATCTTTGCGCAGCCGTGCAGTGGAAACAGTTTGCCCAGCTTTTTTACTATTTCCGCCTGATTCATAGGATGCAACAACCGTTCTCCAGCTGTACCACCATCGATGACTCGATCCAAATAACCACTCATCCAATACCTATCTAAAATTTGATGTTCCAATGCCTTCGGGAGGGGAAGTGCTGTGTTTATTTGATTTGGCTCCGTGTCGCCTCTTGTCTTTTTTCTGTTTTCTACAAATCATCCTCAGTCTAATCTTCATCTTCCCTTTCAATCAATGCTCTTATCAAATCTGCAAATTTTTTTTGTCGGACTTGAATGTAGACATTGAAAGCTCATTATTCAAAACTCGAGGGTTAAGAGGTAAGACTCGCTGTATTGTTTTAAATATTAGTTAAAAATTCCTGAAATAATGAACTAACTGGAAGATACAACGAACTTTGCTTTACTCTGGCTAAATTTTATTTCTCCACTTTTTTTTACTTTCCAGAATGTGTCAATTGTACCTTGAAATTGTAAGTGCCTGCTCGGTAGCTTTCCATTTCACCCAAGTACAATAAATTGTGCCAGTATGCTGGAAAATATTTTGTATTCATGCTTCATGTTTTTAATGATCCCGGTAGCAATGCCTTACCATGCCGGCAAATGTATGACACGAAAAATGTGTTCATTAATTCTTGGGAACTGTTTTTTAGAAAATATCTAGATTTTCATAAAGCAGTAGTTTTCATGAACTTGTGTTAGGTGGGATGGAAATTCCATCAAAAAAAAATTGCTCCGCAGAAGTTAGGCATATCCTGACAGTAGCTTGTTGGGTCGGCAGTATGCTTCACGATTTCTGAAGGTTACGTTTTACGTTATGTACGGATTTTCATTATTTACAAAAACTGAACTGTTTCAAAATTTCGAACACTATGCTTTGATAGTAAAAAGTTTTTTTCCCTCACCCTACTGTCACGGAAACAATCCTTTTGACGGGCTCATCGGTTCTAAAATTTTCGCTTAGAAAATTTTCGTAATGTAAGGCGACATCGTCATATTCATATTCAATTAATTTGCTGATTAATCTATTGAAGAACAAGAAATGATGTAGTGCCAATCATTTTGAGGAAAAGTGGTTTAATAGGTTACAGCTGAGAAACAACATGTAAACACAATTACTGACTAAGTAAAAGAAATATAGTCCAGCGGTCATTTTGTGCTTTTTTCTGAATTTATCCGAAATTATTATTCTCGAACTCAAACCCATTTCAAAAAGAAGCAAAAAGAAATAATTGTAATGGGACTAAAATTATCCGGTGGAAATAAATTTTGGTTCTTCCCCTAGGGTAATTTACTTGAACAAAAGTTCCTCCAAAGTCTAACATATTTTACTACGTTAATTACCATGAAAAACTCGGGATCTGTGAGAAACAGGTCGCAGGAGAGAAAGGAGGAAAGGATAAGCCGTTGATAAAATATCCAGTAGTATCCGTGCTGCTTATATAACAATGCCGTGGGGTTTCAAAGTCAGTTTCTGCATTATCAATAATTATAGTGGTGATTTAATTCGGGGATAGTTCTCAGACATTTTAGAATGAACAGCATGCACTAAGCGACCCTTTAATTTTCGGAACTTTAGGACATTCCTTAAATCTGGATTTCCCTTGCAAAGAAAGTCCTTTTCCACTTTCTCTTAATTAAGTAGGGTATAAGGCGACAGTAAGAAATCGGATTGCTTATCCAGCATTACAACAAAGAAATCCTAACTGTTCAACCGAATTAGAATTGAGCGATATCAGTTTCACCTGGAGGTACCCACTCACAATACGCCTCTCATCTCCTTCAAATTGTCTTTCACCTTAAAACTGATTTCGGCTAAAACATTTCGCTCCTTGCTTGATCATTTCCAACTATCGATGTGAATCCCATCTCACTATTAAAGACCAACTTCCCATCCCACTTTTTGTTTCAATTTTAATGTTTCAAATCTTATCACCTAAGGTGAGCTGTTAGGAGTCCGAGGCCAAAAATGCGCTAAACCCAGCTGCGCTTCATCCTGAAATTCCAGCAATTTAGGGTAACTCTCAATCTCTGTACTCAATCTTTGGAAAGAAACCGCTTGTCATAATGGAAAAGCATCCAGATTAATTGCATAATTTTACTTCTCATAGATAATACTATATTACCGCAAACATTCTTTTTTCAAAGCGCAAATATTTGGCATGTGGAACGTAAATGAGTTTTAATAGCAATAATAGATATATAAAAAACACACAAAAACAGAAATGAAATCACAGCACGCTCAACCAAAATATACTCACAGAAATCTATCCATTACTACCGTTCTGGGGTTTTTGATTTTCATACTTCTGAAAGCCCACAAAGTTTCCGGAATCTATTAACAGAAGGTGAATTTCTGAATAAATAATGCTGTTACATCTTACTGCAGAACCAGGAAAAAGCAATGAATGGTATAGTGAATGAAGGAAATTCATCGATTTCGCAATTTTATTAATTATTACATTATCCTCTATGATATCTACGAAAATAATTACAACATTCCGAGATTCTCCGGCTGCCAATATATCCATATCTACCTATCTATCTATCATACATCTACCCATCTGTACATATATATATATATATATATATATATATATATATATATATATATATATATATATATATATATAT